ATACTTATAATTTACCTACGCGTATATTTATCTAAGGTGTTAAGTATCGCCTTGATAGACCAAATCTTACTCTACAAACCCAGATGAATATGAAATTACCTATTTGCCACCTACCTCCTATGTGACAAAGCTTTCTGATCTGCTTACCAACAGTGCAGAAAATTGTTCAAACTTACCTAGTAATGAAGAACAGCCTTTGGCTATTACCTTACCAAGCAACAAACGTAAGGCGCCTACATCGGAAATGGTTCCTGGACCAAATACTAAACGACATAGAGTACAACGTAAATCTTGAACTCGTACATACAGGCACATACTTACTCGATAAGCCATGACCGAAATCATTTTACTTTGGTTTTCGCTTTACGAACTAGATCGTACCTTCACATACGTCCGTAGTCCTAAAAGCCACTGGGGGCTATGTAGAAATACGGCCTCCGGTCAGTCTAAAATATCAAGATCAAATGAGAAAACAAACTGGTTTTCATTTATATTTAAAATAACTCAATACAAGTTCTTTTTCCAATATTTCCAAAGTGTTCTAAATTCACTTTGATGGCGCTTATTTGGTATGACTCATTTACTTGGACCTATTTGAGACGATAGTAGATGTAGAATACTATAAACTAAATTTCATAATCTCTGAACTGCTACTTACAGGTTTTGGTCTTCCCGCCAATCTCCAAAATTTAATCAGTCTTTTTCTTTTTTTTAACTTTTCTTCAGATGGAACTTTATTTATATTAGCTACTTTATTAACTTGACTTACCTCCTTTTGTCTATCTACAAATTAGACATGTGGTCTTGAACACTTAGTACTTCTAGTGAAAATTATTCAATAAAGAACAGCTAGAGATACGTCCTGTGTGATCGAGGATATTAAGGCTCTTACCAAGAGGCAGTCCCGATCATTCCCACACAAGTTGCCACTGCTAAATCTTAACTGACTTAAATTGTATCTTAATTTATATAACATAGTTTAAAACATAGAAATATCCATCGAAGTTTACAGTGTAGGCCGCTCGTGCCCCTGAAAGGGATGCGACCACGAGCGGTGGGGGCTGGTGGAGGAGGGTAGCCCAATTTACTCGCTTCTGGACAAAGTCTAAGAGTTAGTCCAGGGCATGTGGCCCTCGGGACGGCATGTCGGCACAATAGTTAAACTTACCTGGGATATGGCGGAGGTAGACCGAATGTCCACCCCATAAGAAGCACCACGTCGACACCTCCATATACCTCACGTATAGAGAGACGCTCCATCGTTTCAATACCCACAGACAAACCACTATGCAACCCCCGCATCCATTGATACATTATTAATAATGTGGATCGCCTTTGGCCTGCCTCGTACCGCAGCTCCAAGTTTAACCCTGCACAACGGCGATACCATGTCACTGACCAAGAGACTATGTACCTAGCTTTCGACCTTCACAAGGACAAGATGGTTATCACGGCTAATCACCATGACTTAAACGCGTGGGCTGACCACTTGCCCATGCTCACGTACTTTGCGCCGGGTATGGTTTTCCATAACGACATGCGGAATATTTTAAATACAATTAAAATCCAATGTGTTATTTCATTTGATCTTGATATTTTAGTTGACCGGAGGCGGGTTTTGAGAACCGCAGGCGGATGTTATGCCGCCAGGCAATGTCGGTGTATGTGTCCATGGCGATCTAGTGGTGAGCATCGGAGGTGGGACTTGAGTCCCTCATACCGCCATCATCTACATAGTGATTGAGTTGCTGGCGCATGTCCCGAAATAAGTGGTCGAGGACCTGCTGGAGGGTGAAAGTCATCACCTTGGCCCCGAAGACACCAACGATGGGCTGCCAGATCTGTCTTCCTGATGTAATCCAGGTTAAGTAGCCCCTTGATCGTTTAATATACTTTTACTGGTTGAGACTGCAGGCGATGTCTACACAGGACCTGATATCGGCACTGCGAAGGTGGCCCAGGCATTCTTCTTTCGTCGCCATCGGGTAGGGGTAGATATCGAAGTTCTCGCTGGCGACGGTGTAGTCGGGAAGATAGCGGATGTAGTTGGCCTATTTCGGTTCTACGCAAGGGCTCCTACGCGCTAGAACAGCAGAGGAGAGGATTGTACTGAAGTTGTCGCTGGGCTCAATAAGGCCCCGCTTATGGTTAGCAGTACATATCTCTGCTTCCCAGACGACAAGCTGGGGATTCTTCTGTCTCTGTATACCAGGAGGGTGGGGGGGGGGGGGGGGGGTTACACCCGGCTTCAGCGGATGTCGACCTCCACCCCTTATATAAAGTTAGTTTTTGTCGTCATACGCCAGGCGATTGCACTTGTTCTTGAATGCACGGAGCGGTTCTGGGATTTTGTTGAGGCGTGTGACGTGTTGCCAAGGCCTCGACCCCTCATGCTCTTTGACGTTGCCGGGTGCTTCCCTGCAGCGCCTCACGAACTCCATTTTTTGGCTACGTAAAGTGGACACAACATCAGTATAATTGTAAGACTAGGCGAACTTATCGGACAAGGTGTCGTAGGTCAGGTTTATTATACTGATGTTAAGTGTCCACTTTACGTAGCAAAAGGGGACTCAGAACATCAGGGACTTTGGCCATATACTAGGGCCCGGCCTCGGACTGGGGCACGGGCATTACAGCCCACGAGGGCTGGGGCTGTGGCGATTGACAGCGGTTCATTTTATCACATCTTGATGACCGATAAGGGTCACAGTTCGGTACTAGCCTGGCTGGGTCTTACATCAATAATATTTTGTATATTTTTAAAAATAAAAATTGAAGAGTAGAGTACCGATTCTAGTAGTGACAACTATTATTACTAAAAATCTCTAGAAATTGTTGCTCTATGTACATACACACAAGGAGAAAACAAAATAGATAAAAGCACTATGACCAATGATCTATGACTTTATAAATTCTATCATATCATCATTCACCAATCAGGCAATTACCCCAGTCAGTCAGTCACCACTCACCACTCACAAGTCACAAGTCACAAGTCTGAGGGACTCACCACTGCAGTCTGCACTCTCTCACTCTACTCTAGAGTAGAGAGAGTAGTACTCTACACTGTCTACTACAGTCTAATTCTACAGTCTACAGTCTACACTCTACACTCTACAGTCGATGTACCCATAGAGAGTCCAGAGACGGCAGACTAAGTGTGAGAGACCAGCCTGAGACTGGGGCAGAGAGAGGGCCGAGGCCCAATCTCCACTCTCCAGAGTCCAGAGTCCAGAGTCCAGACTCCAGCTCCAGAGTCCAGACTTACAGAGTGCTTGATCTGGGTGGCCTGGGCCCTGGGGGTTGGGGCCCTAGGCCTGCTGCAGTGCTCTTGGTGAATTATGATTGGTAGTGACCTGTCGATTCAGACGAAGTTCACTGTGTGTAGTTCACTTCAGGCCCAGAGCCCTCAGCCCTCAGGCCTCAGCCCTCAGGCCTCAGCCCTCAGGCCTCAGCCCGTACAGTCGGTCAGGCGGGCAGCGGCTCAGGACTCGGGCCTCAAGATGGCTGGCTCACTGCCCTACCGGCCTACCGCCTGCATAGCCTGCCCGGTTGCTGACCCCTGACCTCTCTGATATATATATTTGACTATTAAAAAATAGTTTTATTATCTATGTATCCATTTTTTTATATAGTAGAAGTCTTTAAAATTAGCCTATTGCCAAGAAAGTATATTTTTATTTTTTAACCTGTAGCCAGTCTGTAGAAGCCCCAAGAGGCCGATATTCTCTCTCTACTCTCTTGAGAGACTAAAAAAGTATATTCTAAGAGCAAGTTGGCGAGGCCAAATTGCCAGTCTGTAGGCCTGTAGCCTGTAGGAGTGTAGGGCACTGGCAACTGGGGCACTGGGCACTGTAGGCCTGAGTGGGTGAGTGGGTGACAGTTGGTTTTTTTAAAGAAAAAAATAGGGTTCATAGTTCAGGTTGGCACTTGGCACTTCATGGCCCCTGACCTGTAGCCTACCGCCTACGTAGGCTGTAGGCGGCTGTAGAGCAGTAGGACTGTAAACTGTAAAGTATAGGCCCGAGGGCGTGTTTGCTGAGTAGTAGCGAGTACCCATGGTAACCGATACTTCAAAATAGAAATAACACGAGGATATGCTTGTTGCCTTCTGAAAATTAGACACATGTTGAGGAAATTATTATCATTATTTCAATTTTCAGAATGCTGAGTATGACGCCTAATATTGATTGAAGTCGTTTTCTCTAAAATATGCTGTAGTAGGACAAGGACACCCGACTACTCAAGGTATATCGAGGATTCGAGCCTTTCGAGGTCTTATCTCCACGAGTGTGTTTATTTAGCTAGGGCCTAGGTATTCTTTAGGATAGACTGTCATGGTACTAGTCTGACGTCCGTTGTGGTATATTTACTTCTTTCCCTTTAAAGCGGGTCAAAAAGATACGTTTCCATTGAAATCTTGTGTCGGAAATTTAGACCCAGTTCTTTTTAAAGAGGTTCTGAGATATATGTGGGGAATCTGTGTTCAATTGTGTAGTATATATATATATATATATATATATATATATATATATATATATATATATATATATATATATATATATATATATATATATATATATATATATATATATATATATATATATATATATATATATGTATATATATATATATATATATATATACTAATACTAGAGGAGTTCCTTCAAAAGTCCTGTCTTTCCATCCCTGCTGTAGACCTCCTATCATCCCACCACGGTCCCTTTATTAAGCTACACAAAAATCTATTAACAGATAGAACTATCTCCTCTTTCCGAATGCCTTTCTCATAGAGAGGGAGGAGAGACCCAAGGGATCCTAATGTACATTCTCATGATTATGATAAAATAGCCTAGAGTCAATTGTAGCTCCAGGCTCTGTCATACTCTACCTTGTGTATACCAGACAATCTTCAGCCTATTTACAGGATATTTATAACAGCAGAGGAGTATACTTATCTAATCAAAAAAAGATACCATCCTGTATTTTTTTTGTATCCCCTAGATTTGATAGTTACTAGAAAATAATTAATGGTCCATCCTGAGCTACACTGTGGTGTGAAAATATGCGCCAAAAAGTGCCCGAATCTATATTTACATACACTCGCAGACGGATACGCAACACACCCCGCGCATATACTTGTGGCGGGGACTTTGTTCCAATCGCTTTGATGCATGCATGGACCTACAATGCATGGAAACATCTCGTCGACTATGTTTTATAGAGCGAAATACAGGAGATAATTGAGCACAATCAATCTTTACTCGTTATTCAGCGGATGGATGGCATTGTCCACAAACTGAGAAGCAAGTGATGCTTCGTGCTACTCACACGTGCCATAATTAACGTCACTGACCATGTGCGTTATTATCATTTTAATAACTTGCGGATTCATAGTCTTAAAGGATATTTACTGGCTAATTTTAGCGCAACCCGAGTTGATGTGCCTATCGTTCTAAAAGCGAATGATGAACAAGGCGGTGGAATAAATTTGGAAGAAAAGACGTAAATGAACCGCATAGCGAAGCCACTACATTTCCCGACTGCCATTGCACAGAGTGGTTTAGTCGGGAGCCTCTATAAGTAAAAGGCTTCAGAGATCGTATTGTATGTAGTTTATTCGGTTTTAGCCAGCCCTATTTACTATGTAATGCATTAACCAGTGTCGATGTGCAGCTGATCTGCGCTAGTCAGCTGCATTTACTTCTTTTATTGCCTTGAGACTCTCCTCAAAAGATAACTCCTATATCCAATAGTCAGCTATGTATCCATTCGGAGACTACACGCATGCGCTTTAAGCATACACACGTACCAGATTGTTGCTTATAGACGTTGTCCAGCACCTCTGCGCGCTCTGATAGCCGGGGGATACTTGGCTTTCTTCATCTTCAAGGTTGGATGGGCATTGCAGACGTGTGCAGGCTCCCATCTGTTAAATTCCTGGACATTTTCTGATCCAAAGGTAACGTGGTACTGGGCAGAGACGCTTCCGGCGTTGCTTCTGTTGATGGCCACCATTTTTATCTTAGTTTGATTTTATCTTGGTTGATATTATGTAAGTATATTTGTGATTATTCACTGTGAAGTATTAAAAATGAAACTATATCCGTTTCGAACGGCACATATATACTCCGTCCATTTTCCATACCCCACTAATCCCTTACCCCTGTGTGAGCCAGCAGCCGAGAACGTGCGGAGTGAATCTTCGTATAAATTTTCTAAAAACAAATTCTACTTCTGGTGCGCATTTACTATGGGGGACTACAACTTTACGAATTTATTAATAGTCAAGTCTCTCAAGAAGAGAGACCTACTGAACAAATATATTTTTTGGTTTGTTCAGAAAAAAACATAGAGTGAATAATAGCCGCATATTTGATAATTCTGCATATTTCTAGTAGATTATTTTTGGTGTTCCAAAAAAGAATACGTTGTTCGTACTTCGTGACTTCGTCGTAGGGCGTGGGAAGTTGGCCCGCGTGGCGCAATGAAGTAAACCGAACCCCGGGAATAATTGCGATAAAAAGAGAATATATTCATAATTTAAAACAATATCAACAAAAAAAAAACAACGAATATTGTTTCCACAGGCCACAGGCCACAGGCCCACAGCACTGTCACTCACTGTCAGCCGTCAGCCCCACGGCCCACAGTCCACTCCAGTGAAAACTCCACAGTATAAACTCTACAGTCTACACTCTACAGTCCACACTCCATAGACTACAGTCCACACTTCACAGTTCCACAGTCTACACTCCCCGGAGTCCTGACTCACTCCTTATGTCCTAACTCTTATAAGTAACTCCTCGAGTCCTCCACACGCCATGACGCATATGTCAAAAGGAAGAGAGATAAAAAAACCCTGGTATTTTTCAAATTAATTTTCGAAATAGGAGTTCATGACTTCGTATTTCATGACCTACTCTCAGAGTTGATGGTGAGTAGGCTACTGAGGCTTGTTATTGTTTTCAACTTCTTCAGTCAACTTTGAACTTCCCCCCGACTGCTAATGGGAGTAGAGAGTAAAACATTTATTTTATTTAGGCTAGAGTGTTGAGAACTAACTGTTAAATTAAGAAAAAAAACTGTTATGTCTACTATTTTTGTGCTGTATCTTTTAAAAAAATAGAAAGCAATTAGGGCTGACGGCTGCCGCTGAGTCACTCACTGGCTGACAGCAGCAGTGCATTCACTGCACCGACTGTAAAAATCTATGGTGGGAAGGTGACTACTGGCTCTAGTGCTAGCTACTGGCTACAGCCTACAAAAGTAACAAAACCTGTCAGCGTTGGATGGGTACTCGTCAGTCGTCGCTCATGGGTGAATTGGATTTTGTTCTTATGTAGCTCGTGCGAAAATTTTCCAAATTTACTTTTCAAATTTTTGTTCAAAAATTCAATTTCCAGACATATCTCAATGAATCCAAATATTGTATTTGGAAGTAGGATTTTATTCTTTTTTGATTCATATTGCAATGTTTGGGATGCGATGCCAATCATGTCTTAATTTCAGCCAAAACGATCAATAATTGGCTGAATGACAGACTTTTTATTTGTAAAATACAGTACAGGTCACTGCAGGACTACAGGATCATGTGCTAAAATACAGGGTCGCAATTTATAAATATTATGTATTTATGTACATATATATATTTCATTTTCTTGCTGCCATCCCTGATAGTGATCAGTACATATATGAGTATATTATTATTATTATTATTGATAAAAAAAGAGAGAATAATAGCATAATATTTTAGATTCAATAGTATCAGTAAAGTCAGTATTCACTGATGAGTGATGAGTGTGAAGTGTGAAGTTGACAAGTTGTGAACCTATAGTCTCAATAGATTATAGAATATAGAACCATCAATATCTTTCTACGAATAAAGAAAGACTATTGGAGTCAGAGCCGAGACTCGAGAGTATCGATTCTATGGGATAATGAATATCTCATACAACTTATATTATTTAAAAAACAAAATAAAATAAACCGTCTACTTGATCTACAGTCTACTCAACTCTACAGTTCTTCTCCGTTCTACAATCTATACACTATACACAGTATACAGTACAGTTACAGTCAGTATCAGTTAGCGCGAGTGGACCATGAGTCCACGACTAACAAAAAATTTTACGCTAAAACTTTTATTTCTCAATCAGTTTAAGTTTTTAAATTGTAACTTTTATAACCGATTGGTACCGGCTGCACAAGCGATAGGTGCTTTTTCAGGTCAGGGCGGTGTCAGAATTTTGTCCTGTTGTTTGCGCGCAATACACCAGCCACAGTGTCAGTTGTCAGTATGCGCTATAAAAATATTAATTTATAAAACAAATAATAAACAAACAGCTTTCTTGTTCAATTTTCAGGAGGCTATGAAATAAAGTTTTGGAAATTTGAATAGTTGCGTGAATGGTGAACGTCCCATGGCCATGCCGCCATGGGACGTGGCCGATAGTTTGTTAATTATGTATATATATTTAGGTTCATGCATGCAGATATATACATCTAAATATTTATGAGCTAATATAGAGACAAGTGAGCGAAGAGAAACACACACGCTACACAAATATCACAAATAAACATAATATATAGCGATGAAATATAATAAAACATATAAATGTACAGATCAAATAATACATTTTTACAATGAAGTTCATGCATGCACATGTATACATATAAATGAGTATATAAGCTAACATAGAGACAAGAGGGCCAAGACAAATTATTATATTTGCAGAAGAGCAAAGAGAAAAACACACATTACACACATATTACAAATAAGCACGGTACATATCGAAGAAATACAATAAAATACACACATGTACAGATCGAATAATATTACATTCAAAATTAAGTTCATGCATGCACACGTATACATATAATTAATTATGAGTTAATATAGAGACAAGAGGTCAAAGAGAAACACACACACTACACATATATCACAACTAAACACAATGCATATCGATATAATTAAAACAAAACAAACACACACATATACAGATCAATTGTTCATATGCTAATAACAACGTACAACAATGCACACGTATACATAATAAATACTTCAGTTTGTTATTGTTTAAAACTTCTTATTTCATCGAGGATGTATAAAATCGTTACGTGTAAAGTGAACAACTTCAGACTCTATAACAGTGGCTACAAATGCAGGTGTTGCATTACCAGTTTGAGGCGGAAAATATATTATGCATATGCAGGCATCGCAAGTGTTCATAAGCACTTGGGCGGCGTGTTCACCCACTTGTGAATTCTGATTGGCTATCACTAGTTTCATTGCCCAATTTTTACAACGATAGGACAACGTTTCGAGTGCAGATTTTCAAAATTCGATATTTGATTTGTCCCAAATAAAAGTTTTAAAATTTATTTGTAATCAGAAAGTGATGTACCAATGGGAAGTCTTGCAAATTCTGACGTAAAAGTGTGTACAAGCTTCTCTTTCTACTACAGCCGGAGCGCAGTACAGCGGGTCAGCGGCTCACCCTCCCGGAGTCTCGGTCAGCACTCAGCTTACAGCTACACACAAAAGTACAAAGTTTGGATGCTCCGCGAGTAAAACTGTAGAAGTATATCTAGAATTTTAAAAAAGAGAACTGGTATGAAATTGAATTATGATGATATATTTTTAAAAAACAAAAAAATACAGCCTGAGAGTCTCGACTCTCACGTGGGAGTCGGAGGCCTGGGATGAGGAGTCTGATGACTGTCTGATATATTATACTGATTCGGCATGACTGCCCTTTAGTGCTCTACTACTATATTTACAGTAGTTTTAGAAAAGACGATATTCCCCGAAAGACAAAGCGACAACAAATAGTGAATAGAATATAGAACACTACTTGTACTCATTACTGACACAGTTCGCGACACTGTTGTAAACAGTCATTCCAGAGTGAAGCAGTCTCGACAATTTTTACTAAATGCGCCATTTACTGTCTGTCTTTTTTTTTTAAACAAAAGACAGAAATAATAAACAACGTCATGAAACAAAAATCACAATAGTAAACGATATTGTCGTAAAATAATATAAGCCCAGGAAATAAAAAAAGTGAAATATGTATCATGTGTATATGGACTACATCGGCGGAGGGCCGTAGGGCGTAGGCTGCGCCGCTGCAGCAGGTTTGCCAAATTGCTAATGCTTCAGTGCAATGGGATATTCGTCACTATATCTTCTGTGTGCGTTGTCTGTGCGAGTGTATCACTGCATCTCCACTGTCAGATCAGTTGGTACGGTGTTTCTATACACATGACCATATTTAAAAAATGGAGAGCATATGAGGTCAAAATACGTATGGACAAAGTTTATGTATTGTGCCATTGTTTAGCTCAAAAGTCAGCGGTTTATCTGTAATCCTGAAGGTGGTTCGACATTTGTATTTGATTTGTGGCGGACTTTATGACTTATAGTGTGCGAATTGAGTGTAGCTTCAATATTTGTTATGCGATGCCATATCTGTGATTATTAACAATAGAATGCGCAACGACGCTCGCCTTTCGGAATATATACCGGTTTTACCGGTTTCTTAGAGTACCTAACGGGTCCGGGCTTCTGTTCCAACTAAGACTTTCAGAGAAGTATAGTAGTACTACTACCTGATAGGAAACCTTTCGCACTTCACATTCTAAGTACTATAGTAAAATGACACAATTTGGTACTGCCGTATCCCAACACTCAATTGTTCTTATCTTACAGTTGCATGTATTTGAATTCTCCACTTTATATAAATATCGAAAGTGTACCGGAAATATAAAAATTATAAGCTGTATAGATGATGAACACTCACATGAAAGCTTTATATTTATTTTTTAAAAGATTGTTTTGCGCCTGTATAATTTTTTTTCAAACCGTGCATGAAGCTAGCAATCCACAAATTTAATTAGTTGATTTAAGTTGTGCAAGATTTTACACTGCTGGAGGGCAACCTTGATGATAAGGCTTTATGTCTACTCTTTTGAAAAGTGATTTGAAATTGCGCTGGCTGACATTGTAGAGGCGTCTAGGTGTTAAGGTGTATCTGAACTACAGAGAAGGTGCATACCGTATAAATTTGAATATTTAGACTTGTGGCGAGTTTGCGCTTAGTCGAATATTTGTTAAATTCGTGTAAGTAGCACGGGGAAATAGCATTGAAGGCAAGGGAAATACACACGCCACAACGAGTGTTGCAGATGAAGCTTCTTGTTAAAATGGACAACCTATTGAACAGCTAAAAATATTAGACTAAAAGAGTCAAACACGAAAAAAATAACAGAACAATATATAGAATTAAATATCTTTATTGCAAAGTTCATATGTTGTCTAGTTGTCAAGTGAGTTGGAGTAAGATACGAGGGAGCCGAGCTTACTGTACCGCTTCGATGGACATGATAGTCGCAATTAGCTTAGTCACAAATTCTGGCCAGGAACTCCAGCTTCGCGTGTGAAAAGAGGCGATTGTTACTAGAACCAATGCACCAAAGACAATTGCACGTCAACAATTGTCATCTCAAAGGAAATTTCTACTGTAAGTCGTCGATGGTCCTGAGCCGTTGGTATGCCTCCGGATAAGATCAAAGCAGATGCTTTATTGTAACATTTCCGCACCATAACATCTTTGATCGACGATGACCTCAGGAAGCAGCCAGAGATTTCTCGGTACATAGTGTACGATTTGTCAAAGTATTTCCGGCCAAATTACTTACACATTAGACAATCCAAAAACCTCTTTAGACCAGTGAATATGGCACCAAACACCGCACCAAAGCAGTTGAAGATAGCACCAAATACACTAGCGAAGAAGTTCACGATGATCTCGAAGACGTGAACAATGCCATTCCAGAGGCCTTTGAAGCAGTTGCCTATCGCGCTGAAACATGAACCCATATTGTATTAGGAATTGAGGGCCTCGGAGATTAATTGGTAATGTATTTGGTGTTCTGATATTAAGTAACTCGATATAAGCCTGTTTATATAGCATAGTACGCACGACACATAACTGAATGCCCATGCTTTAGTGCTTTACGCACGACACATAATTTGGAAACTATGAGCTTATGAACGCGAACCATTTGAATTTGGCTTGGTTTGCCGGTTCCGTGATTGAATTTTTAGCAAAAGATTGCATTCATCTAGGCCAATGGAAATCAATCATGTCATGTTTTTGAAATAAACTTTTAAAATACTGTGCTTAGACGTGCTACTTCTACTAGGGACTGATGTGCTACAGTCACTACCGATTTGAATTAAATAATTCTGATTGGCAAACTGGTTCTGATGTGAAGCAGAATACATATTTTATTATATTTTGGCGGTACAATGATACATATGTAAGACGTAAGCCTGAGGCTTAAAACACGGCTAGGGCGCCGCGGAGACCAAAAACGTTTCTTCAAAAAGGTTAGCTAAGAACTCGCGCTTTCTCCCTCACTTGTACGCAACACACTCATAAATAAATACGCACTGTTGTTCAGTCACAAACGGGACGGACCCCATTGAAGTATGCTCTATTTTTTGAAACAAAATTCCATTTAGGATCCCTCGGGGGCCTCTTGTGGGCCTCCAATTGGGGAAAAAGCGTTCCAGACAGATCTTAAGTTCAATAAATGAAATAGGGACTCTACAGCTACGCTTTCGGTGATAAATAATGTTTTAAATAAAATGCATAGCATTTTGAAAATTGAACTGAAACAAAAGGCATCATCTTTTATTAAAATATTCAAACGTAGCCTTCTGAAAATTGAATATATTTATTAATATTATATTTACATAATAACTGATTTGGCATCAGGTCTATTGTCTTTTTTAGCGTTCCGCCATCCAATTTGGGATACAGGATACGTAGTTGTTGCTGTGCTCACCCCGATCTACACATTGCAAGAACTCGAATTCCAACAAAATCACGCCCAGGTAAATACTTGTGACAACCAACAGAAGTATTGGTCTGTGTATGAGTCACAGTAATAGTTAGCATACCAATCAATACAACCTGGCACAGGATATACACTGCTGAGTATTGAAGCTCTCAGAGAGAAAAAAACTCAGAAAGAAACTGCCCTGCATGCACCACATGTGTATGAGCTTCATACAATGGGTGATTCCAAAACCCTTTCTCAATTTATGTATCTTGTTATGATATATAGGTCTAATGTTGTATTGGCACAATGGAGTCTTCAGAGAATTAGTACTTTATATTGAGAATTGATGATTAGAATATTTAATATCGAAAATTGATACTGTATAATTATCAATTATCATACAACCGAGTTTTATTTATTTATAATAGTGCCTGAAATCTGACAGAAGCACCAGGTGTATTTATCATTATAACGTTTAATATCATACAATATGGTGCTCATGGGTCAATCGATTCTTATGCAAATTTTGCATAGCCGAGCACACACCGTTCGAATGGTTGTAATACATCTACTGGCACTATTAATTAATATCTAAGTGCGACTGTGTCCGCACGTATAAGCTTTATGAACTTGAAGCTATGCAGAGGGCTTGAGCCTTGTACTGATGATAAAACCTCGACACTGCTACTCTTGAACTATTTGGCCATCTTAGATCGCATATGCTAGTGTAATTCTTGCGTCTCCGCGATCGCAGTTCTTTCGCAATCAACCTATTCTACACGGTTGTGTAGATAAGGCAAAGCAGCCAGAGAGGGCGATAGAATGAAGCACAGTCTTAGAAAATTGGGTAGAGCTATTGGTGTTTAACCACCGACACCTACTGGGTCTCTGCATGCAAATTTGCCAGTCAACTTTCTTGTGGCTTCAGATTTGTAAAGAGTTGCCAGAAAATTCTATTAAAAAGGAGTATTCAGTGGTCCAAAATATAATGATAAAAAGCTTTGCGTACGCATTTGTGTGGTCGATGTGGTTCTGAAGTATTTGACACTAGAGTGCATCGTCGTCTCAACATTTATTCTCGTCGTCGTAATATTTTGATGTCGTACTACCCTGAATGACGTGCGTGTTCCGACACATTCTCACGCACACGCACTACTCTCGCCCAGACTGTCTTCCACAATCGACACAACACCTGCTTTCTCTGATGCCATAACGGAGTTGGACTTTGCGGATACGGCGCTCTCTATTATTGGATTGCATCGTAGGAATACAGATGCAAAATTAGCCGACGCGCGAGCAAAAGTACATATTTTCGATTCCACCGTCATATTTGGTCAATAATGTTGCTAATTAGGCACAAAACTGAGTCAAGATATATTTGCATCGATACTGCACGTAGGAGTACGCACACGCCCGAACCCTTGAGTACATGTGCTACAACTTGCTTGTGTATTCTTATACTAAAATGTATACTTGATTGTTCCTCGTATATATGTCTCATGAAATCTTGTGATTGTGTATGTGATCAACCCACATACGAACTCGAATATTGATAACTGGTGAACATATCAGTGCATAACCCCGCATACATTCGTATGTATACAAGAAAATGACTTATCCCCCCAGTGTGATATTTTAAGGGTGTATAGTTCACTCTCCACAGTGACTGATATAGATATCACTACCATCCTACCAACTACAGTTTACGCTCATAAATCAAAGATGCAAATATTTGTAACTATCCGAACTACTTCCATACGCAAGTCCATGTGTATACGTGCTCCGAATGGGGTATGGGTACAGGTCATGAATGATATGAATCCAGACAGTGTTTCGGATGCAGTATTGTAACATGTGATGGATAATAATATTAGTTCAGAAGAAAACACAAATACACAGATATTTCAACATGACGGTATGAATTCTCCAGAAGTTAAAGCTGATGCTATATATATATAACAAGCTTCGTAGACGCTCGTTCGGGCATACAAGGACAATCGTTGCCAGCGATAGCTGATATTGTGAATAATGCGTGTACTGAATAGCAGATATATATCTGCAATTCTTCGGACGAATTTACAAAACTTAACGAATCCCACCAACAATTGTGAGATACACATAGGATAGATCAATACCTATACCCGCACAAACTTGCACACATACGCACATACCCGTATGACTTGAGACGGAAGCATTGCCACTGTCATCACTCATGGCCAGGTCGCCATTGGATTCTATACTGGAGCCCGACGCAAGTACCTGCGAATCCCTGTCAGATCGCTCGTCTTTGTCCACACTCATCTCTGCTCGAGGTTGGGCCATATTTGGCCCAGCCACGGTCTGAGCCGGTTCCTCCCCACTCGAGGACTTCTGTGTATCTTCCGATGGGGTTGTCGTACTCAGTCGAGGCGGGGCCGATGACTCATCCCGCTGTTTTAAACCACTACCAGACTGCTCGGAAGACACGTCATCCTCCATATCACTCAGCACCAGGGGCTCCATCGCTTGCACACTGCGCTTGGTCTGTCGTTTGATGGGTTCTACTGTGTGGGTCGTGAGCGTGTGTGCCTGTGCCTGCGTGCTTTTGGTTTTCCTGTGCCTTGACCCACTGGACCGGTGGAGTTGTGTATTGAGCAGGACCTTGTCGATGATGGTGGCCACATGCTCTGTCGCAGAGTCTGGAGATACCCCGGCCTCTTGTGTGCATTCGGAACATAGTCCGAATCTGCAGACAGTAGAAAGCAGTGTACAGGATTGGTTACGCACCATAGTTAAAGGGTTTGTTGTAGGTACACATGCGGAGTAAGGTCGTAATCGACTGGCTGATCCGCATGGTGTCATCACAGAACACACCGGTACTTTACGTGGGGTGTGCGTGTGCTTACGTATACGGGTCAATGTGAGAAGGGTCGTCTCAATTGCTGGTATACGCACGCATAAACTTTGTCGGAGATATGCAGCGAATATAGATAAACCAATTCACGCACATGTACGTATATGTATCGCGTTTGGAGTCATGTCTGTTCTTTGGTACTCTGTATACGTCGCTGTAAGGATATACGGTAGTTCGTCGTACATCGGAAGGCGTATGTGGTGTGCACACCCGAATACAATACCGAAGCAACTCTCTCTATTTCTGCGGTGTATCTCCCACTTCTTATACATCCTTGCACCTGATTGTGCTTCAATACATTTGTCGGAATGTTTTGATGCACTCAGCACATTAAAACTTTTATGCTCTCGAAAAAAAAAAATTTGAATATCCTGTGCTAAACTCTAAATCGCGATACGAATACGTTGGGATGTGTCCGCCGATATTTCTATGCCGAATAAATATGTATGTACTAACACCTATATGTACCATGAATAGACGACCATACACGTTATGAATATGGTGGACTGGCCTCGCATACTCATGCCAATCGCACGAGCAAATACAAGAACGACCTTCATATCCGGACATCCACTCTATATATATACAAGAACACCATCGTATACCTTTATTCACATTCAATCAATCCATACATGTACATGCACGGCTTCGATACGTATTTTAACATTTTGGTGCTCGTTGTCGCCGAATAATATATAAAAATACATGCAGACCTTCATATACGTATACATACACATACGTTCCGTGACATTATACATAAAATAACATACTCAGCTTCCTATACGTATACATATACTTACGTTCCGTGACATTATACAAAAATAAACATACATACCTTCTTACGTTCCGAGGCATTATACGTAAATAAACATAGACACCTTCATATACGTATACATATACTTACGTTCCGTGACCTTATACATAAATAAACATACATACCTTCTTACGTTCCGTGGCATTATACGTAAATAAACATAGACACATATACGTATATATAAACATACGTTCCGTGGCATTATACATAAACATATACACACCTTCATATACGTATACACAAAAGTTATGTGACATTATATTTAGATACACATACACACCTTCATAACCGTATACGCATACACACGTTCTGCGGCAATATGTATCTATACACATGCACGCCTTCATATCTCCCGTCTACATATACATGCATTTTGTGGCATTACACACCAATCTACATACGTTCTAGTGCTTTTGGCCCCCGCCGTGAGTTTGCGTTGCACATGGCCCATCAGTTCAGTCTGTACACTGCACGCGTCACAGGTGGAGGTGGGACATCCCACACAGAAGCGTGTGCTCTTCTTGCTGCACTGTGAACACTGGTGCCAGGGGCAATGCCACTGGCCGTGGGGGGCCTTTTCGAGGCCTAAACAGCCGACGTGGTATGCTTTGGGACAGAAATTCATGTCGCAAAGGGTTAAGGACCCGTCGTCACCACAGTGGTAACACTCGTCCTCAGTGATCTTCTCCACTCGCACCTTTCTCTTCTTCTGTTGAGCGTGACAGGACAGTGTGAATACATAGATGCGTGCAAGTTAGTAGCGATTGGTGATGGTGTGAGGAACGAGAGACGGTTCAAGCTATGCATGTATGGTACTCTGACCGTCGTTCTAGGCCAGCAGACTCCTCCAGCAATCGAGGAACAAGACAGTGGAAGTGAACAGGCTAGAACGGGTCACAAACTTACCAGACTCTTTTTGACACGGTGCTTCTGGCCCGATTCTTGCGTGCTCATTGCACCCGAGTTCTTCTTTTTGGGCTTCATGCCCAGAAATCCAGAGCAGTTGGCAGATTCACACCGACAAACCTAGGCACGCACAATGAGAAGTATTGAGTGTCAAGTTGTTTGGCCTCACGATCGAGGCTTTCACAGTGGAATTGTGAAGCAAGGGAAATATATACGATACATCACTCAATAACATACTAGAATCACTCAATAACATACTAGAATCACTCAATAACATACTAGAATCACTCAATAACATACTAGAATCACTCAATAACATACTAGATAGTCTGGGCATATATAATGCCCTAACCAATACGAAGGACTATATAGTGGTGCTGTACAGTGGCCGCACTGAGACTAACCAAACGTGGAGCCACATCCCACTCACTATGAGACTCACAGTGTGCACTCCAGGGTGCAATACCATGAGTGAATGATAATGACACAGCGCAGTTGCACAGTAAGCTGATTGATCGGCAATGACGGGCATTTGGACGTCGGTCCGTGTGCGCATACCGGACCAAGTAAGTTCATGGTCGCATACGTAATATATACATGAGAGTGTGTTGGTGTGCATGCTCATGTATGTCATAAGTAGCATGTGCTCACCTTACTGGCTTCATTGCCAAAGGTATCAAATTGGTAGTTGAAGGTAAGTTCTTCGTCTTTCCTGATATCCTTCATGGCAAAAATTCCAATCCTGATTTCACCATTCACGCGCCATTTTTGCGTCTCGCAATTGGGATCGCAGCTGTGGTTCATAAACCTAATGTCGAGATTGAATAGACATGCACCTTAAGAGGGAATATAACATTTTAAATAAACATTGTAGCCATTCACATTAACATAGCATTGCATCGAATTCTATAGTCGCCTCTTGGCTGGATGCTAGAATGAAATCCAATAAAGGGCATAGGAAGCAAGCGACAAAAACTCCAAGCTTGCCATTGTGTGTTACAAACATCCTGCAAACATATTCCAAGAAACGTACAGAAAACAAATGCATACACAATGGTATTTACAAGCAAAACTGGAACAGTGTCCGTGTTGGAACTACCAAAAATATGAAAATGAAGATCAAGTATGTGCCAATATATACAATCAGGTATGGGAACAGACACTATCAATGCAAAACGAACAAACATGAATATTTGTGGACTTACGTGAAATAAGCATTTAAACTCTTGAGTAAAGTGCAAGTAAGTTGAAGGACTCTAGATGTATCCGTAGATATATTTATATATATATATATATATATATATATATATATATATATATATATATTATATGTATATATAAACGAGTATAAGTAAATATATATTCACACATATGCATAACTATATGGCCTTGATTCAATATGCAACATGCATTTATACATGTTTGACATTAGTTTGACATTTTGTCTGTAAAATAATATTAGCCTTCGCACTCGTGCGTTCAGAAAAGGTACACAGATCAAGCCAGACTTGCATCTACGACTTTCCGTCAAGCAGCAAGCGCCTTACTCACCTATCGTGCACACACCAACCAGCAATCACAACCATTCACTCAGAGTAACCAACACAGATACCACACATACATGTCAACACAGACACCTTCATAAACACCTACATCCACCTGCAAATTAACGCACGTACATGTACATACTCACACATACATACACGAACACACACGCACGCACCACACATACACACAGGTACATACACCTGCTTACACATACACACACGGACACACACGTATACACACACACTAACGCATACATACACGTACACGCACACGCACTCACACATAAATACACGTACACACACGCACTCTCACACACATGCACATACACACACGCACACCCGCACGTACACATACTCGCACATACATAAACGTACATACACGTACTCACACGTACACACACGCACTCACACGTACACACACGCACTCACACGTACACACACACACACACACACACTTCCACGTACACACACGCATTCACACATACATACACGTACACGCACACACGCACACACACATACATACACATTCACACACGCACTCACATACCTAGCCAAGTTGCCCTTGAATTGCGCATCAATGTACAGTTGGTTGTCCATTCCCAGCATGTAGAAGTCGTCACAGCCCGTCTCTTTCGCCTGGGCCAGCCGTTGCTGGACGGTCTGTGTGTCGATGACCTCTCCCACATACTCGATCACCAGCTGTCCCGCTTTCAGTTCCGATTTCGACCCCAGCCCCCAAGCCTTGCCTGTTGTGTGACGGTAGGGATAACAATCTGAATAAACAAACGATGTTCCCATACGCATATACTTGCATACGTATGTCCTAAAAAGATACATACGTAAGACGGTACAGTGTCTGTGAATGTGTTCAACGATAGTCCAGATGCCCCCCTTCCCCGGGCAAGCCCACAGTGTAGATACTTGTGAACTCGAAGCGATTGGTGCAATGGCCATATGAAGACAAGCGAAAACAACGGACTTGATAGCCGAAATCGGCACGATTTGCGACAAGACAGCACAATTTGCGACATCCGGCCGTGCGGGTAACTGCAGGTAGATTCACTGACGGGAGCGTTACCAGGAGCGTTGCAAGTATATAATTGGTGTCAGTGAGGTCATCCATACCACTGGCAGTCTTGAACACGTTGACATTGGCGTATTGACGCTTGCTGAGTCGCATGTTGTTGCACGTGTCTATGTTACAGTCCGCTTTTGTGCACTCAGTCATAGTCATTCGGTTCTCGCAGCGTTCGTCGTAGCACCGATTGATGGCGTTTCTGTTGGGTATGAATAGGAACAACAACCCGCGATCAGTCATCGGAAGGGCTTTACAGATAGAATGTGACCGACACACCTGCCTGTGCATGGTTTGTGCATCGTCGCCATGCACATGTGCAGTTGGGTATGTGGGGTCTACGGCAACCATGAGATCAGAGGAATAGAAAAGCGACAACCTCGTACTTCCAGAATGGGTGGTGACGCATCCCATATCCACTTTCACATACACACAACGCACATACAAACGTGCACATGCATATGCATAAATATATACATATACATACAT